ATGTTCAAAAAAGATTTTATGAGGCAGAATCATGACCGATATTGTTTTTTCATACGGATGTTTGTACAAACAACCAAGCACCAAATGTGTGTAAAAAACAAATACAGGTGTGTGTGTGTGTGTGTGTGTGTGTGTGTGTGTGTGTGTGTGTGTGTGTGTGTGTGTGTGTGTGTGTGTGTGTGTGTGTGTGTGTGTGTGTGTGTGTGTGTGTGTGGAAGGGTGTTACTCGGTTGCCTCATTTTTATTATTTTAAAAATTTCTATATTTGAAATTTGCAAAGTTTGGGGAATTTAGACTTGATCCTAAGTGACAGTAAAAAAAACAGTATTTAAGATTGCAACTTGTTGATAATTAATCAGAATGTTTTTTAAATCAGGAACTTATAATGATTTAGTGAGACTGAAGACTAAAATACTGATGTTAAATTAAGCTTCGCTTCGCATTGCATTCATGAATCAAATTTGTGATCAATTTTTCAGTTTTTATTTCATCAAATGGTAAGTGTAAGAAACTCGATACAGATCTTCGTCTATCATAAATTAAATGTTTTGTTTGAAAGGACGAAAAGGACTCTCGAAAGAAGAGGAAAGCTGAAAGAAGTCAGTCCGAGTCTTCTGACGAGTCTGATGTAGACAAAGACGTAAGAGTTTGTTTAAAACCTCTGTGGTTTTAATGTGTCACCAAATCAGATTAGCACAGCAAATAACATGTGACATGCAAAACTCATCTGCGAATGTGTTTGTTTTTTAGGCTGACTCCAAAAAGAAGAAACATAGTAGTGAAGAGAAGGAGAAAATTACAGTAAGTCTTTATTAAAGAAACACTCCACATTTTTGCAAATAGGCTCATTTTACAAATCTCATAGAGTTAAATGGATGAGTTTTACCTTTGAGTCCATTCAAGTGATCTCTGCATATGGTGAATACACTTTTAGCTTAGCTTAATCATTGAATCGGATTAGACCATTAGCATCTGGCTTTTAAGAAAAAAAGTTAAAAAAATTTTTTTAAAAAATTGATAATCTTCCTATTTAAAACTTGACTCTTCTGTAGTTAAATTGTGTATTAAGAAAAAAGTAACTTTTTTTAGGCTGATATACATAGGAACTACACTCACCGGCCACTTTATTAGGTATATCTTACTAGTACCGCCTTCAGAGCTGCCTTGATCCTTTGTGGCATAGATTCAACAAGGTACTGGAAATATTCCTCAGAGATTTTGGTCCATATTGACATTATTGTATCACGCAGTTGCTGCAGATTTGTCGGCTACACATCCATGATGTGAATCTCCCATTCAACCACATCCCAAAGGTGCTCTATTGGATTGAGTTTCGGTGACCGTGGAGGCCCTTTGAGTACAGTGAACTTCGTTGTTGATGGCAAATTTTGACTCTACCATTTGAATGTCGCAGCCTTAATCGAGACTCATCAGGCCAGGCAACATGTCTCCAATCTTTTATTGTCCAATTTTGGTGAGCCTGTGTAAATTGTAGCCTCAGTTTCCTCTTCTTAGCTGACAGGAGTGGCACCCGGTGTGGTCTTCTGCTGCTGTAGCCCATCCGCCTCAAGGTTGGACGTGTTGTGCATCCGAGATGCTCATTAAGAGAGTGGTTATTTGAGTTACTGTTGACTTTCTATCCGCTCATTCTCTTCTAATCTCTGTCATCAACCAGGCGTTTGCGCCCACAGAACTGCCACTCACTGGATATTTTCTCTTTTGCAGACCATTCTCTGTAAACCCTAGAGATTGTTGTGTGTGAAAATCCCTGTAGATCAGCAGTTTCTGAAATACTCAGACCAGTCCGTCTTGCACCAACAACCATGCCACATTCAAAGTCACTTAAATCATTCTTTTCCCCCATTCTGATGCTCAGTTTGAACTGCAGCAGATCATTGGTGATTGGCTGATTAGAAATTTTTGTTAACAAGCAGTTGACCTGTTAGCGTATATGCTCATTCTCGTATATAATGATTAAACTTTCCTGCCATACCATGGCTGCAGCACGTGCAATGATAGGACATTGGCTGAATGCATAAAAATGGTAAAACTCAACAGTTTTAACTGTTTAAAGAAGTATAAAATGAGCCTATTACCAAAAAAAGTGCAGTGTTCATTTAAAGCGGATCATTGATGTGTGATTTGCCCAAATGAATGTGTAAATGTCTGAATGTGCTACCCGCACCACTCGCAGTAATGTTATCAGCAGTGGATTCACAAAACAGAACTTCATGATTGCTTTTTGTATTTACAGGATAAGTCTAAAAAGAAAAAGAAAAAGAAGAAGCATAAGAAACACAGCAAAAAGAAAAAGAGGAAGACCTCCAGCTCGGAGTTGGACTGAAGGTGCTAGCGGCGGCTGGATTTGTGAATGGTAACGGAAAAGACAGAGCTCTTGACAGACAGTGGAGAAATAAATCCATCAGAAAGCTGTCCAAGTGACTCTTAAAAGTGGGTGCTCTTTAGCATCGTGCAGCTGTAGTGGAGACTGGGATGAGAGGATCGTGGCGGGGGTGTTGAACAGGGCGTGGGGTTCATTACGTCAGGTTTGTGTTTGTTTTTTAAGCAGATGATTCTCAGTCCAAATAAAGACCATTTACACATCATCAGCGGCTCTGTGTTCAGTATCTGTGTCCTGATGAGGGTGGGAGTTGCTGCTGGTGGCAGTCGATTTGCATTAGATGTATTTAGAAAGCTAGTTTTTCGCCTTCGGAGCTGGCTAGGGTTTACTTTCTGTGACGTGTGACAGTGCACAGAACAACTAATAAATAAATGTATAAAGTAGTCAACATTTATAGTGGATCAAAAAGTTTTCAAAATTGTCTTTTTATATATATATATATATATATATATATATATATATATATATATATATATTTTTTTTTTTTTTTTTTTATTTATTTATTTTTTTTATGAGCTATGAATGTAGCTTTACAAACTGCACAGAAAACAATATATGATTTGTTTATTATAACATGGTAGTATTACGCAGTTGAAGCACATTGGTCAAACAGCTTAGGCAAATCTGGCACAAATACAGAAATGGATATACAGATCATTCTGGAAGAGCAGTGTAAAATATTCAAATGAATACAATTACTATTCCATGACCAGAAGTTGTTGTACCACCAAAGGTCTGCTCTTTTAAATTGATCTAATGACTGGAGCCCATTTGAGTTTAATGAACTCACTATCATGTTCAAGAAACCAGTTTGAGATTGAGCTTTGTGACATGGTGTGTTGTTAAAATCAAAAGATGGGCACACTGTGGTCATTAATGGATGAACACTGTCAGGATAATTTTCAGGTAGGTTGTGGAATCAAAACAAAGCTTAATTAGTATTAAAGGGTTTGTTCACCAAAAAATTAATTGAATGATTATGATACTAATTAATCACCCTCATTTCATTTCAACCCCGAAGACCTTTGCTCATCATCGGAACACAAATGAAGATATTCTAGATGAAATCTGAGAGCTTTCCATTTACATCAAGATTCCTGACTCATTCAAAGTCCATAAAGGTACTAAAAACATCATCAAAACAGACCATGTGTTTTCACTTGTTCAATTTAAATATTATTAAGCTACAAGAATATATTTATGAGCACATTAAACAGAAAAAATTGAATGAAAAAAAAATTCTCAGTATAGGGTGCACGTCCACAAGCCCTGATGCCTATACTGACACGGAGGAGAAGGAACTGTTAAATAAAGTCTTTATTTTTGTTTAATGTGTGCATGAAAATATTCTTGTAGCTTGAAAATATTGCTTCTTCTTTGTTCTGATGCACACTTTGAGCATGCCTAAATACACTTTCGCTGCTGTGAGATTGAATTGAACGATTAACAAAAAGGAGTTTTTACTAAAGTTGCCTGCGATTTGTATGTTACTTTAAAATGACTGAATCTGACCTGTAATTAAGGAGTAAATCACCATTTTTTGGTGGGTAAAAACTGAAACTTACACTGAAAAAAAATGACTTTGAATGTGGTGTGGTTGTTGGTGCCAGACGGACTGGTCTGAGTATTTCTGAAACTGCTGATCTACTGGGAGTTTCACGCACAACCATCTCTAGGGTTTACGGAGAATGGTCAGATAAAGAGAAAATATCCACTGAGCGGCATTTCTATGGGTGCAAATGCTTAGTTTTTGTAATATTTTGTTTTATTTAACATTTTTTATAAGAGTTTTAACAAACACAGTACAATACCAATAAAAAAATACAATACAAAATAATTGACATTAGCCCCATCCCACCCCCTCAAAAAAAAAAAAGGGGGGGGGGGATCGTCTCAGTTATCAAATATACCTAAATATATACATGACATATGTAGCATAAACAAATTTAAAAAAGATGACAGTATTCACATTTCTACAAAGTCAGTGTCATGAATATATGAGTTAGCGATGAAAATCTCTTAAAATAGTTCCCCATGTGGTTTCAGCTTTTTTCTGTGAAGTTTCAAGACGTAGTCGTGCCATTTGAATGACATAAAGCAGCTCATTCAACCATCTCTTAAAACAGGGAGCCTTTTCCAATTAAGTAAGATCATCTTGCAAATGCCTTGTTGATCAAATCACGCAAATCATCTCAGAGTGGTTTCTTGAACATGACAATGAGTTCACTGAACTCAAAAGGCCTCGACAGTCACCAGATCTCAATCCAGAAGAGCACTCACAGGAGATTCACTGGAAATTCACATCATGGATGTGCAGCCGACAAATCTGCAGCAACTGCGTGATGCTATCATGTCAATCTCTCTGAGTGATGTTTCCAGGACCTTGTTGAATCTATGCGACAAAGGATTAAGGAAGTTCTGAAGGCAAAAAGTGGGTCCAACCCGGTACTAGTAAGGTGTACCTAATAAAGTGGCCGGTGAGTGTACTTTGCATTCATCAGAAAACCCTGTGTCTGTCTCTAGTTTGAGTGTGTGTTCAATAAGGTTTTGTGCTGCGATCTGACACTGTATTAAAGCTGAGTTTCTCTGCAGTGAGTCTGTATCGGTGAGAGTCTCTGGGCCTCAGGCGGACAGCAGTGTTTTGGGAAGCTCGTCCAGGTGTGTGTGTGTGTATGTGTGTCCTAATGGCTTATGGGCGGAGCCTCTATGAGCTTCTCTCATTTCCCTGGCAAATACTGTCACCAGTTCCCTTTTCTTGTCACACAGCTTCTACAGATTATATAGCTCAAATGGAATGTGTTGAAGTCACCATGATCCTGCTGATATGCAGCTTATTTGTCATAATATCTGGTAAGAGGATGTTTATTTCTTTCTGAATGTCTTGCAAGAGCAAAACATTCAGCATTTTTACTACGATGCTTTCTAAAAATGTATATATATAAGTTTGGCCAAGAGGTCAAATGAGTGTTATTTATATAAATACATTCCCAGAGTTAAAAAAAATTACAGTTAAATTAATGCCATTTGAAGTGTGTACATATATATGCATATCATTTGCACTTAGGGAAGTAGATGGAGGGATACTTTGGGAAAAATGGTTGAATTTTTTTATATTACCAACTTCCTGTTTGTGTAACTTGATTTTTAGAATAAAAATAAATAAACAAAGTGAGACTTGAACTTGTGACAGTGAAACTGTGGTTTGGTTTTAGTTCTGGAATAGTCAGGTGATTACTTCCTACATGGGAAAAATTCGCTTCCACCTTTTATTTTTGGTCATACGTATAACATGATTAAAAATATATCATTATTTTAAATCCTTACAAATATTTATTATTTTTAAATCGATTAATTACGACAGTTCAAAAGTTTTTGTTGCGACTTTAATATGTTTGTCCTTAAATTATGTTCGGTTACACTTTATTTTGATGGTCCATTTGAGTATTAATAGACTGTGTGCTTAATATGCTGATACTGCTCCTTCAACAGACATTAAACTGAATATAAGAAACTTTGTATGTACATTTCAACTAACAGTCTACTTATGATCTTATGAGAATTAGTTGCAATGTAACTTAAATTCAACAAACCGTCCATCAAAATAAAGTGTCCCCTTATGTTCCTTTATATTGCATATAAAAATCTGGCACAATTTATATTACTTTTAAAACTTAAAATTCAAATGTTTTAAAAACACTTTTACAAAATTATGTTTTATGGAAACACTTTAGTGCCATTTTATATATACATTTTAATTAGATCTTTTTACAATCATTAAATATTTTTGGCATTCAATAATAATTACATTTTGTTTAGAAATGTGTGCTTTTATGTGCTAAATTACATTTTGAACCTTTTAATAATGGTCATAATACAAAAAAATGTAAATAAAATAGTCTATCCTATAACATAATGAACTATATATTTAAAATATTAAAACAAAAGTCATGTGTGTGTGTGTGTGTGTGTGTGTGTGTGTGTGTGTGTGTGTGTGTGTGTGTATATATATATATATATATATATATATATATATATATATATATATATATGTACAGTGCTCAGCATATGAATACACCTTTCACAAATTTCTCATTAAAATTAATATTTTCTATAGGGAGCTTTACAATATTATATTTGTGCACATACATTAGTTTAGTTAGTACCGAAAGCCCAATCGGGAGCTTTATCTAACAAACTAATGGTTAAAAAATGAGCAGGCCAAAGTTATTTGTTAGGGAAAAATATTGAATAAACTTTTCAAAAATAGCTAAAATCAAGAGAAACAAAAATATATATACAATTTTGTTGAAATGTTGTAGCTTGTTTTTTTTTTTTTTTTTGTGCAATATTTTCCATGAACTGAAAAAGTTCAAGTTTGAGATCCACTGGTCTAATGCAAATTAAACTAGTCTGTAATGAAAGTTAGTCTGTAATGAGAGCTTATTTTCTCCATATAGCACAATAGAACCAATTGTGTTCTGCGGCACATCAGCTAGAAGTTCATTCATTCATTTTCTTGTCGGCTTAGTCCCTTTATTTATCTGGGGTCGCCACAGCGGAATGAACCGCCAACTTATCCAGCAAGTTTTTACGCAGCGGATGCCCTTCCAGCTGCAACCCATTTTGGATTGTGGGGGAAACCGGAGCCCCCGGAGGAAACCCACGCGAACGCAGGGAGAACATGCAAACTCAACACAGAAACGGCAACTGAGCCGAGGATCGACCCAGCGACCTTATTGCTGTGAGGCGAACGTGCTACCCACTGCGCCACTGCGTCGCCTCAGCTAGAAGTAAATTAATTCAAATTAAATACAACGTCCAAGCCAAATGCGCTGCTAGTCATCATAACTGTGACTTAATAATAACATTAATAACATTTATTTTAACCAGGTTAGTCGATTGAAAACCAGTTCTCATTTACAACGACAACCTGGCCAAGAGGCAACATTAAAAGCAGATATGAAAGAGCAGGGACGCAATACAATAACAATTTCACAAATGCAGATAATAGCATATAAAACCAGGGAACAACTAAAAACAGGCACTGTGATCTTGTACTATTAACTGGATTGAATTTTGTGAAGGATGATAGTGGAATGAAAGTGTTGAGCTTTAGATGATTCCAGGCATCAGCAGCAGAAAACTGAAAAGAGTGGCGACCAAATGGGTATACAGAGGTTAATAAATCTACTAGAGCACAGATTT